TGCGGGACGCTGCATCCCGGCGTTGTCCCAAGGCAACCCCTTCCCATGGAGAAGGACCAGCACCCAGGCAGCCAGCGCGGTCCTCCAGGACCATGGGGAAATGTCAGTGCCCCTGCCAGGAGGCGGTGACACCCCTGGAGTATTGTTTCTTGTCCTCAGGCGTTGTTTCATGCTTCTTCTGTCCCCTTCCACACAATTGTCCCTAAAGAAGGTGGCTTTTAACACCTTGGCCCTTCTTGCCACAAGGGAAGGTCCTTGGCAAATAGAGCCGATCTAGAGGCTGCCCCGTTTGCTCTTGGCTGCACCACGTCCATCCTCATCCTGGCCACACCAGCACGGGGCACGTTTTCATGCAGGGTGGCTCTAGCCCGGCTGGGCACCAAGGCAGGACCCAGTGGATGCTAAGGGAAGAGCATCAGGACGGTGTGTACGCATGTGACCTGCCCCAGGACCCTGTCCCCGCCTGCCCTGCGGTTTCGGAGCTCCCAGAGCCAGAGGCTGCCTCTGGAGCAGCCGTCCAGTGAGCCGCCGCACCACTCCAGCAACTCAGCCCAGGTCTCTCCCAGGATGGTCCTTGCAGGTGCTCCATGCCCACAAGCCCTTCCTTCCAGCCGTGCTGCAATTCCCCAGCTCCTCACGACGCCACGACAAGTTGCGCACACGACACCCCGGATGTGGCATGATGGGCTCGTCCCGGGTTGTCCTACAGGTTTCTGCTTTGTTCCCCAGTCTTTTCCTAATCATTTCTAGCACCTTTCCTAGCTCCCTTGCCTTTGCTGGCCCACGGGGCTGTCCCTGTCCTCCCCCAGGCAGGGCTGCCTTTCGCAGCTCGCTGGCAGGTCGTTCACAGGTAGTTCATGAAGAAGTTAGACAGCACTTTTAGGAAACACAACAAATCCTGAAATAAAATCCAGAGGCTGATGGCCGTTCAGTGGCCTCAGGCTTTGATTTTATCCCCTGCTTTTAGGCCTGAATTGCTCAAGCCCAGCTTCCAGCCTTGCCCTTTTGCTCTGCTTTGCTCTCTAGATCCAAGGGAGACTCAGCCCCAAGCTTTGTGCCCAGGGCAGGGGACTGCGGTCAAGTCCCTCCTCCTCGATAAATGGAGTCTGTGGAGCCTCTTGAGCTTCATTCCCTGCAGTACCTGCTTTTAATCCTGACAAAAACCGGAGGTGGGGGGCGGTCAGGCCCTGGACACTGCTCTTCTCAGCCCCGCTCCTGCAGGTGCGAGTGTCCAGCTGGCCTGTGTCCACACATTAGCAGGATGCTTCTGCTAATGTGATCAGCAGCGAGGCAATTAGCGCTGCGTTCAAAGGGACCCCGATGAGCGCTTCTGGGCAGTAACCCTGGCATCCTTGGGGCTTTCAAAGCACGCCAAGATAAAAGGGGCTCAGCCGGTGCTGGGGCAGCCCTGCGCCCCCCCGCTCCCAGCACCGCCTGTGCGAGCCCTGTGTGCGACCAGTGCCCAGGTCTGTCACCTCCCCAGAGCAGGGGTACAGGGAGAGCCTGGGGCATGGCAGGGGTTCCCAGCTCGGGCAAAGATGCTCCTTGCTCCCTCTCTGCATCCTCAGCTGCAAGACAAGGACACGAGCGGTTGCAGGCTGGACGCACATGCGTGTGCCGTCCCCGCTCGCGGGGTGTGCGTGTCTCTCGGCCCCGGCACCAGCGGAGGAGGACAAATGCAAACACTGTGGCCAGTGGGGTGGGAGGAGATTATCTGGGGCCCAGCAGTGGAAAAACTCTCCCGGTGTGTGACTAAGGCCCGATAGCACCAGGTGTGGGTCCAGGTATGGCGAGCGAGCCGGCCAGTTATCACCTCCCGTGGATTCAGGTGCCTGAAGCCAAATGTTTCCTAAGGGTGCGGTGACAGGCGCAGCGCCGCTATCATGGCGCCTGGCCCACCCCGCGCGGCAGCGGCGATGCGGGGGCAGCGGCTGC